AGCCATCTTTGTGGCATGTAGGTTAAAGGGGAGGGTTCTATTCTTAACAGCAGCCTGGATAATGATTTAAATTATGTAAATATATATAATAGTCAATAAAGCATGTTGTCTAAGACAGCTGTAATATAGCTCCAACTTACAAGTTCATGTATGAATTACATAAAGGGGCATCATGTGTCAAAAAGGACAGTGGGTACATGGTCTGACCCGAGCCCAAAGTTGCTGGGGTCTTCATCCCTGCCCCAGAAGTCAGCAGGGGAAAATGTACATGCATAGACCTCTATGTGCATAGGCTTTTCTTGCGTGCTTGAAGCCTGCCTTATCATGTAGGCTTTCTCTCTGCACTTAATGCAAGGACATTATGGAGATAGCTGTGGGAAACCACAAAATCTCAGGAGTCATGCCAGGAACATAGCCCTACAGTTCCTTTCTAGTGTTAACAGTGTGCTCCCATGCCAAGGCACAAAATGTGGAGATGCAGTGGCTTAGCAGCCTAACCCAGTCAAGTATGCTGATATCTCAAAAATAAAAGCATTCCCCTATGAAACAGGGACTGAAAAACGTGACTCCATGCCGTGTAGAATAATATTTCATATGCATTACATATGACTGGCCTCGCTGAATCAGACCAAGACTCCTAGTGGTTGGATATGGAGAACATTTCATCCAATGCTCCCAAAACCATGTCTGACAGATTCCCCAAGAAAGATGTATTAGAAAGGCTTGATGGTGGAAGGCAACTAGCATCTCAATACTCAGAGATATACCTCTTAACACACTCAGCTGTTAATATTTATTTATAGGACTTTTTTCAATGGTCTTCTAAACATGTTTAAAGCCACCTGAGCTAGTGATCACCACTGCACCTTACAGAAATTAATACCAGGAAGTTCTTCATTTTATCTGGCCTTAGTCTTCACTGCTCTAATGTAATTGGATAAACCTGAAACTCTTTTTTACTGTGCAAAGTAGGAGGCTTTCCCCAAACTATTGTGTGAGAAAATGTGTTGTAGGGGCCAGTGTTTAGAGTCCTCACCAATTCGAAATCCATCATTTTATGAGACAATCATAATGCATCCTATACGTTAGGAGGAAACTCCCCCACACAGAATAAACTTAATATTAAAGAACACCACCATTTCAATATTTAAATGTACCAAGTGGAAACATTTAAACAGCATTTGTGTTTTTTCCCTTAATATGTTCTGAATCTGGCTATTTACATACTCTGTTTTGTTTTATTTCTTAATGCAAATGAATAAATCTTAACTGAGTAAGTTCACTGAATCATTCTACACCAAATTTTAACACACAACAAGACAGCATAGATCTATAGAGATAAAGAAGTCACTAGGTTGCTTAATAAAGGTTATTATGGCTTATAAAACACCCAGTTAATATGGATAATAAAGCTGATGGATTGTCAAAGTGCATATATTCCACAGATTTGCATGATAAAAACAGATAATAAGCACTCTCCTCTCTAAGGCAAAATAAGACGCTATCCAACAAAAAACCAAGGGAAAATCAGTATGTTTCCTTTCTAAAATTACATATTAAATCTACAATGTTAGATTGTAGATCTAATGCTGCTCATTCCAAAGAAGATTCTTCAGAACAGCAGGAGCACCATTTCGGATCAGTGGGAAGGAAGGAATTAATCCCCCACCATGTATTTTAGGGGCTTATGGATATTTCTCGGAAATATCAGTGTTTCTGGCCAGCATAGCAGCTCTGCACATCAGGTGACTGGTGACAAGTGATGTGCTAAAACAAGCAGTTCCTGTATGGGAAATTTTGATCCAATCTCTCCAGTGTGCCATAACTAAAGAGGGCATTGGTAAGCTTCCACAGTTCACTGGAGACACTTGAAGGACATCTACATGGCAACATATCAGTAAGTGAAGTACCATTCTCAGGATTCAAGATCATTGAGGACTGTGAAGACAAGGAGCTGATGTTCTAGAATACTGTTGAACCTGACCACTCCCAAGAATCACAATATTATAATGTATTTATTTAATTGGTCTGCCCTGAGTTGAAGTAAAAATAAGCACAACCCAGAAAGTTTCTGATTCAGTGGGGTACCAGTACTTTTTACTACAACTGAGCTGAAGATCTCAGCAGTGATGGACAGGAGACGTCAGGAAACTAGGAAAAATGTTATTAAAAAATTGACCCAGGAAAAGGAGGGGTTACTGTGATAGGTGATGGTGGCTTCATTAGAGGATGGGAGTGGATCTTTCTTTAGCTACTTCCTTTACCACTTCTTGTGGAAATGGAGTCGCAAACAGTGGTACAGTAGGTGAGTTTAGAACCTGGATGTAATGGTCTTACAGGGATGGAGGAGTTTGCCTATGGCCCTATGCTTTCTTTACATGGAAAACACACATCAAACATTTCTCTCATTCCTCACTACCATTCCCTGCTTTACAAGTGCTTCCATAACCCTGAATAAAATAAATAGTCAATATGATTTTCCAACCCAGATTTTTTAAAAAATAAACCTTCCCTAAGCAAGTACAGTTTCATATAACTATCAAACCAAAATGAATAAAATGAAACTTGCAAAATAAGCAATGTTTTGTTTTAGTGGGGGATAATATTTATTTCACAGTAAAAATATCATTTTTAATAATGTGTATGCCTGGCCAAATGCTCTGTAGTGGTCCATCCATCCATCCATCCATCCATCCCCCTCTCTCTTTAAAGACAAATGCCCCTTTCTTAGTTGAAAGTTGCATCCTTCTCAAAGATATTCATGTTAAAATAGAACCCCACAGAAATTTCCGAAATAGAAGATTCAATTTTGGAAATACGTTTCAGATATAAATAGAATAATACCACATAAAACATGAACAATTAGGTTCATCATATTGATTTTAACAGTATTTATCCCATTCCATAAATTCAGCTTTCAAGACTCCCATATAAAAATGTCCCATATCTTTAATCAGCTCACTCAAATTTAGTATCATCATTTTAATACACCTCAAACTGGCCAACTGCTGGAGGTATAGTGCAACTAGTGCTTCCCTTACTCATATTTTGGCAATGCCCCATAGCCACGTCTCTTTTGGGAGAAGGTAGTAATATAGCTAAACTTGGGAAGGAGAGTTCTGTAATATTTATGGATCTGCACGTTCATCTTAGTCATCTACCTATCTCTTAAAGTTAACATGTAGATGGCCTGTTTAGATGGATTCACTATGCCTTTTTGACAGCTAAAGAGCTAATAATACAACTGGAAAGTCAAACAGCCACCTGCAATAATCCAATGGGGTGAGGATCTGAAGAAACTTCTGAATTTTTAACAGTGGTTTTCAGGCATAATTTTCAAATAGACAAATACATGGATATCTGGGCTGCCTCTGTTGAAGTCTATGCAGACTTATTCCTAATAATACTAGCATAGTTTGCTAAACATAAAATACGTAGTGATACACAGTATATATGCCTATATTGTAACAGAGTCACTCAACTGCACTTCTTTATTTTATTTCTTGGTTGCTTGTAAAAAGATAAAAAAGATGCTGCAGGGACATCATCAGCCTTGGTGCTCTCCATTGCTGACTCCTGGCCTGATTACAGTGATCCTGATATCATATCTTCTCTGGGTGTTTATTTGCAGGCCTGTGGGCTGCAGGGTTCCAGACTTTGGACCTGAGATCCAGTCTGGTGTATCCTTTCAAATGTCATGGTTTGATTCATGCTGTGACAGGGTGTAGCATTATCCTAGGGGCATTGTTGAAGGAAAGGTACAAGAACCGTAACAAAACATCTGAATGTCTATTTCTGAGTGTAGCATCATTCAAACTTAGGCATTAGGAACATAAGAAGCTGCTTTATACAGAACCAGCCCATTGGGCCTTCTGGCCTACGGTTGCCCGCATGGATAGGCAGTTCCTCTCAGCACCTGGGACTCTCCACCCTTCTTGGAGGATTTAGAAATTGAACCCAGGACTGAGTTACCACTGAGCTACAGCTCCTGCCAACTAGAAGGAGTACGGTGGGCTACAGGGCCACTGATTGCTGTTCCATTACCTTAGTTGGTGGCACAGCAAGCAGCAGCAGAAGAATTATTTATTATCTATTTATTGGGTGTATAAACCTCACCCAACAGTTGTGCACAGGACCCCCTGGGTGGTCATTAGTTAATGGGGGGGGGGCCCTCCAAAAAACCTGTTTCCACTACTATCGTTTAACATAATAAGCTGCACACAGAGATTAAAAGGCAGCAGTGCTAGTTTTTACCCGTAAGTGCTCGTTTTTAACCTATCTTTCTCTGGACATGAACATGCACATCCCCACCCCTTTCCAGTTTTTGCCTTGCTCTCTGTGCATCAAAGGCCTTAAGTCATTGGATTCAGAGTCAGCTCCTCATGTCACAGTAAAAGGTCCCTAGCTGAGAGATAAGAGAAATGGTGAGCCCTCCTAGATTTGAGATCCAAGACCTTCAATATGCAAGAGAAAATATTTACCTCTCCTTTCCTGAAAGCTTCCCTTTATTTCTAAAATGATTTTGTATCTCCTCAGAAAATACCTGGTACTTGACCCACCTCAGAAACACTGCTGCCTTCCATCCACAATTCTGTATGCAAAAGACAATCCATAGGATCTCTGTGAGTCATTATTGTTATCAATAGTTAAATGGGTTTATGTATTAGGCATGTTTGACTTATGCAAACAACATTTCTAGCATTGTGATGATTTTTTTTTTTTTTGGAAAAGTAACTACAGCCAATGTTGTTAATACTGGCTGTGTATAATCTAAACTTGATTAACCCTGAGATCAGATCTTGGAACTGTGTTGTGAATTCTTGCCCTATCATGTCCTTCCCAATCTCATCATCCTCCCCAATGAAATCCAAAATGGTTCTTCTTTTAGAAACAAGTAATTTGCCCATCCAAAGAATAAATACAGATCCCTAACATCAAAGGACCACCACCCAAACTCTTTAAAATATACAAACTAAGAAGCAAATCTTGGTATTACTTACCACTGTGAAATTCATTACTTTCAGTATCCATATTGTCATTGCTAAGTTAACTATCATGGTAACCAATAGCAAGAGGACAAAGAAGTATAGGCACCTCTTGCGCCAACCATAAATTCCTACTGGATAAAGCTGAGGGTTTTCTGTTCTTGGCAGATTGTTTTGCTGTGTTGCCAGTATATACTGTTCTCGTGTCATCTATTAAAAAAATGAACAACAAAATACAAATGTTAAGTACCTTTTTTGACTAATCAGTGCAAACATACTCTTTTTATATGAATGTATTAGAATAATTTTCCCAACTTTTGACTCCCTTAATTAAAAATAAATAAATTTAAGAAGAAAGAAATTAAGAAAAAAAATTACACAAAATACGATCCAATCTACCGAGAGGAACAAAATGCATACTGGCACAAATTATGGATTGATGTTTAATTCCATTGCCCTTCCTTTATCTAAGTGGCATCCAAATGTTCTAGGAACAATGGACAGGCAATTGGTCGGGCCATTACTCATTTACTGATTTTCAGAGAAGGCTTTCCATATAGCATTTCCCCGTGGGATAATCCCTAATCAGTATTGCAGATTCTGGTTGGGTGTAAACACAGGTCACATGATGTATACTAATCCGTACCTTTCAAAACTAGCTATACCTGGCACAAACAGTGAGTACCTTCTAAATGCATTGGGAAAATACAAATAAATTAAAAAATGAGTGGGGGAAGATACAAAATGATATTTATTAAAGGATCTAGTCAACATATTTTGGATCTGAAGTCCCTGTCAAGAGAAAATTCATAGTGCACACTTCTGAGATAGTTAGTGCCGGATTATCCATTTTCTGATTGATCTAACTATCTAATGCCCCCCCCCCCCACTTCAGGGATTCTACCTTTTCAGCACAATTGCTTCAAGTTACCGTTGCTCCTCATCTCCTTTCTTAACATTTCTCTCATTGTACAGTCACAGGAAGAAAGCCAGTGAGCCAACAGTCGTTGGCATCTAGTGTTTCTCATTTACACTAACTCCATTATCTGAGCCAGAGCAAAATAAGGGTGATTTAACAGGTGGCAATAGAGAAGCAGCTGAAGGATTCCTGGGTTTTTGTCAATGGGGTCCTGCTGAGGTGGGGGCTCTTCACAGTGTCTCACAATGTCTACCTTAACTGCCAACCTTAGAGACTGTCCAGGGTTGGAAAACAGATCTGCTTTTTAATAAGAATAATTTCAACCCAAAATATTTGGTATTTGAAATACATTACAATTCTGATTTTTTGCACCATCTTGGAATGTGTTCATTTTGTTCTCATGTTCACTTGTTGATACCATCCTGCTACATTACTTTATGACCTACAATACTTCTTTTCATCTGTACATTGTAGAGAAAGAACAGTAAAATTGGGCAGGCCATTTATCAGTGAAGCTTAGCTTCCAGGTTGCCATTACTTGCCTTCTCACTGAGAAAAGCCTAATCAACATTCATACATCTCCAATATTCCCCAGAGCAATGTTTGCAAACCACTGCTGTAGTTCATTGCACCATTATTAATTTCTCTCACACACCTTTTCCCCAAGATTCAAGGCAGTTAATAATCAGCCACAGGAAAAAGGGATATAATAGTACATTCAATTTATTGATCAATCAGCACCAAACTGAAATTAAAATTACATCATTCTTGTGTCTTAATGGCCATCCTTAAAAACACACTGAAATTCAGTCTTATAACCCATAGGAGTCATCAAGACTTAGATTTTACTGGCCCTGCTGTAACAAAGCTGCTCAACTTTTCTCCAAATATAAGAAAAGTCTGCCTTGTAACTAGCAGCTGCTCTCCAGAGTGTCAATCAGAAAACTTCCTAGAGATTTAACTTAGGACCATTTGAATGCAAATCATAAGCTGCACTACTGAGCTTCAACCTTTTCTAAACTAATTACTTACAAGGATTGCACAATCCATTGAGGGAATTCAACCTACCATTTTAAAATACTGCAGCAAAGATTGCAATAATGCATTAAAGGTTGCGATCCTATAAGTATTTTCTTGCAGTAAGTCTTATTGAACTTAACTCTGAGTAGATGTATAGGATTGTACTGTAAAAGAGCACTAGATTTTAGCTGACCAAGCATATTATAATGCTATGCTAATTCTCAATCCCTGCCAAAACTATTTTTTAATCCTCCCATCATTGATTGTAGGTGCACACAATTTACACTTATCAAGTAGTATCTAGTAGTGTCATATGACAAGGTTAAAAAGAGCTAGTGTGGAAAGACAAAATAAGATGAATAAATGAAATCTTAGATCTATTAATTTCTATAGGAATGTCAATTCCATTTCAGTTTTGTCATATATAATATTAACTACATTGGCTTTGACTTTTCTTTCAGATAAAGAAGTGAAAATATAGAAATATATTGTTTTGTGGATGTGAACTGACAAATTAAGTATGCAAATATTTGATAAATAATTAAGGGATTTTCCAAAACAAGGTGGGTGGGGGGAACCTAAACAGTGGATCCATTTAACAGACCCCTAGTGCCCTGATGCTGGGAACAATTGACGGCAAAATAGAGAAGAGGATGGCAGAGAATGAAGTGGCTAGATGGAGTCACTGAAGCAGTCAGTGTGATCTTAAGTGGACTCTGGGGGCTGGTGGAGGACAGGAAGGCCTGGAGGAGTGTTGTCATTGGGGTTGCAATGGGTCGGATGCAACTTCGCCACTCGCAACAACAAAGTGGCAATAAATAGTGTAGAAGTGGAATTGTACAACTAGCTAACATACAACCAACCTTTCAGGAATGTGAAAAGGGCATCAAATAGGAATGCAAAAGGACAGACTCTAGTGCTCAGCTCCGATATCAATTTGGAGGGTAGTTCATATTCATAGATGCAAACATTCACATGGTATTCCAAAAGGTGCTATCATTTATACATCCAGAGAACAGAAACCGCTCGTGTCACATCTTGAAGTCATTAATTCTGTGATTCCTTAAACAAATGAGACAACTTCGGAATGAAGAACAGAAGAATTCAAATATTGTTTAAAGATTGCAGTGAATGCCTGCTCCATGCCTGGATCCTGTTCCCTGCATGTGAAAGCACTAACTGGCTAGGATTGTTGCTACAATGCAAGCTTTCCCACCAGGGCAACCATGTCGGTCTACATGTGAAGTGTTAGAAGAAAAGCTTCCAGGGATTGCACTAGAATCCATATAGTGGCCACAGCTGGCCTTAAAGTAAAGATGACCAGTGCACAGAGGTCAACGGAGGACTGGGATTTATGATTTTGAGACAAAGATGATGAAGATTTCATAGGATCCTCAAACGCTATGAAGAGGAAAGAGCGAGGACTTTGGAGGCCAAAAGACCACTGTACCCAGCCACCCCAAGTCCACAAAATACTGCACATTCCACCAGACCATCAGGCATCTACACTGGCTGAGAATCAGAGATAATACCATACAACAAGAGGAGAGACAGCATGTAGAGTCAGTATTGCCAAACATTAAGCAGAAAGAGGGAACAACACACTCAAGCACAGAGTGGGATTTCAGGCAGCAGGGAACAATGATTGAAAATGCATGTAAACAAAATCCTTGTGCATTTTGCTCTGCCTTTACATCAGCTCTGCTTCTCTCAGTTCAGACCTGTCATGTTGAACTAGCATCCATGCTTCAAGTTCTACACATTTTCAAGCAACCCAAAGCAAAATGCCTCTTCACGTCTTGTGGGTTCAACATGGCAAGGTCTAAGCTGATTGCATTGGGGCTGATGACATTTGGAAACCGTAAGAGGAAGAGAATTTACTGCAATTGTTTTTTGCAGGTCCCACTTGAACTTACAAGAAGTTTATACTTCTTACCTTACCTTATCAATGTAGCAGTATGCTTTGAGCACTGCCCTTCAAACTTCATTGTGCACCTTTTCAAACTTCCAACTGACCCTAATTTTGTCAGCTTTCCACCTGATCTGAACTTGCCAACTCTCCACATGGGTTGCACAACCCTTAACAAACATTTAGTCATTTCTTTTATGAAATGGTAATTCTGGCATTAAATGGGGGCACAGGCTCCATCGTCAACAAGGTTCAGTCCCCTAGGCTCTTTGATGTTAGTGGGGATGTTTGAGGCAAGGAATCCTACCTGACAGGAAGCTTTTAAGTCTTTAGGTATCACCATATCTTAGAGATTTCTGGTTGTACATGGTTTCATGAGCCAGAGAGAATTTCACATGCTGGCTTCCTTGTCCAAGCTAATGTCTAGATAAAGGCAATGAACTGTGTGTGGTCAAGGAACTGGGCCAGAGGTGTCCCCCCATAACTATTTAATAACATAAAACTTCACCATGCATATAATGTGCAAAAGGAACTTGATTTCTAGCTTAGTTTGAATTATAATTGCTAAGGTCCTCTGCTAGGCTTTAACATTTACATTACTCACAGCTTACTTTACTCATAAAGGTGGATGCTACAGAGAAAGCAGACGAGCAAGAGATGGTCTCCTGTAGTGGGACTCTCCCTCTCCTCCATATTCAGGAGGGTAAAATCAAATGACTCAGATAAAACCTCCAGGGGGAAATAGTTCATGGTTCTCCATTGAAATAATTCTAGTCTTCCGTTTAAACTAGTCTTAATATATGGCAATTTAGGAAGTTAATAACTGAGAATGTCAGAGCACATGTAGTCACTAGACTGCTAATCTTTTGGTATTTAGCAAAAATTGCTTTAATGATTTCCGGATTAACTTCTACGGTATCCGTTCATTTCCCATCCTTTTATTCTAACAGAAATTTATTGTCTGCTAGGAGTACTCACATGCATTTTTATTTGTATAAAAAGAAAAGTTCAATATTAATGACTGACAAAAGGGAAATGAAGATTTGTGTTTGAGCAATTTTCTTCATTAGGGAGTTATGATAAAACTGAAGTTTTTGACCTTTCAGTGTACAAAATATCTTAAATGTAAAGATATCAATAAACATGGATCTATTTCTAAAGTGCTGACATACAATGGTGTGTGTTTGATTTTATTTTCAAATAGTATTACTGAAACAGGAAATGGAATCTCTTTCTGGCCATGTAAGATGTGCTTAACTATAGCTTCCCTAATGCAATCAGGAAGCATGCAAGTGGGAAGAGATGGGACCAACCCTCAAAGCCCTTCTCAACAGTAGAGGATTATAAAAGAAAGGCATTACA